CCTCAACTGCCCCCATTTAGGAGAAGCGTCGTCTTTCTGCGTTCCATGTGCAATGAGTGTTCCTGGTTCCTAAATCCGCGCATGGAAGCCTTGAAATGGGACCTGCCACTTCGCCGGTGTGCTGACCCTCTGTGCACCTCATGGAAGGATCGCTCCCTGCCAAGCTCCTTCTCACTGCTATTCTTGCAATCTGTGAAGGTTGCGACACGGCAGAAAGAGGAATATGGCCACAGAAAAATGGTTGATGCCCACACATCACATCTCAGGATTTTCCATATCTGAAAAAAAAAAATCAAAGTTACCAAATCACAAGAAGTGAAGAACTTCAAGCCAAACCCTCCAGACCACAATGAAGTGATCAACATGATTGTGGCTTTGGTCATTTGAGCCTTGCCGTTCTGTACCTCTTCCGACCCGGCCACTTCTGGTGCCCTTCGCCACTTTCGCGGCGGCTCCTCCTGGCCCAAGTGGCCCTGGCGAAGTAGGCTCGAACGGTGACTCGAACGGGGCATGGAGGAAGCAAACAATATGGCTATAGGCTATAGGGGATAACAAGTGGACGGCATTTTTGCCTTTGCACCGGTAGATGGAAATGGAGGGTTGGTTTACTCATATATAGGCTCCCTCCTCATGCCATTGATTCGTTATCCCCTATATGGGTAATGGCACCAAAAGACCCTGCTTTTTCCCACCGAACAGGGTTCCTGACTCGCCGTCCACCTACTACGAGACATGGTCCACCTACCAGGGATTAGGGCTTGGGGGTTTGAGGAAGCAACACATATCTTTCCAAACCCACAGTTATATATATATATGGTTTGATGGTTTGTCTTGCAAAGGTCAAGGCCACGGCAAAACAATCTATCCTGGAAAACAGGTTTCTTACAAAGAGCAACCCATGAAAGGGTCACTGAAAATTCCCGACTTTGAGCGTGTTGCCCCAAGGGTGATACAGGACAGTTGCAGAATGTGTGTCAGTGACAGTGGGAAAAGGGAATTGGACAATCCTATATGCACTGTGAGGGCGGCGCAAGGACAAGTTGAGTTCTCAATTTGTTAGTCTGTGTGACAGTGGTGGGGAAAGGAATCGGTGAATCCTTTACTGTCACAACCACGTGAGAAAAAGTCGGCGCTTCAGTCATCTTCAGTTTGTTAGCCAGTGACCGTGGGGACATTCAGAGCCGGAAGATTACTTTGGATGTCTATAGTCATGACTATACTATGTATAACATGATAATGACATAACATAATCATCTTCGATATCTTTTTCGCTAAACACATACTTTTGCAAACCTCATCACAGATTCTTCCGGATGGTTTGGACAGCATCTAGAAGGTTGTTTTATATAAAACAACCTTACACTCACGTCCCTTTAGATCATTTTAGATCCACTCCCACATCTTTCCAAACTTTGGTCTCTTGCAAACTCCGGCACAATGACTTCTCCTTGCCAGCAGCACAGGGAGAAATATGATCAGGCCTGAAGCAACAGCTGGTTCACCAATTCCGCCAAGGTTGGCGGGAAGCCATCGTCACCTGGGGGGCAAAACAAGGAACCCATTATTGAGTAATTTGCCATTGTCTAGAAAATTCTGCAGACTGCAACCAATGGCAAATGCGATGATCTGAGGAGCCCAAGATCATTTCGGGAGAGCAACATGGATGACTTTAACTTAAGACTATAAGAGCTACATCGCCAACACAACTGAAGAAAACACGTGAAAAGAACAAGCAATGATATGTCACAAGTCATGGGGCACATCATAACAGCGACCCACTCCGGCTAACCCAGTCAACCCACTGCGACCCTCTGCAAGCAAGAGGAAACATGAGGAAACAATCAGCGTACCAACAATTGTTTTCTTTTTGCGCTGGTTTCTGAACCCAATCCGTTCTGGCCAATCAGTCAGTCTAACTTCAAACGGGTGTGTGGAAACCAAGCCAAGAACTTGTAAAGGTAGAACTAACGTGTGTATATACATACTAATAGCTTCTTGTTACTACTAGTAAGGCACCTGTTACTACTAGCGTGGCACTTGTTTCTAATAGCTTCTTGTTACTACTAGCAAGGCACCTGTTACTATAACGATCTTTTGATCCAGTGAATCAGTTGCTAAATGCAACTTGACCAAGTCATTGGGCTTTTGAGCGAACCAGCCCAGGCGCCCATGGCTAAGGCCAATTGTTCCAGGTAGTCCTCAACGATAATCACACTTTGGAAGAAACAACACCACTGGTCATTGGATCGGAAAATTGACCTAAGAAGGGACTATAATTGTCTAGTTCGTGGCATTTGCCATGCTTCAGTTTCCCTGTCCTTGCCCCTCAAGAAAAACATGGATTGATCGTCAGTCCGCAGTCAACGATGCCTAAGGTGAGACATAACAAATTGCAATTCATGGCTGGTTGGTGGTTTCAGCTCAATTGAAAAAAACATTAGTCAATAGGTTCAATCATCCCAAGTAAATGGTAAAGGTTGACAGTTCAGTCGGTCCAGCGCTCCTGGATGTAGATGGAGAGATCGGCACGCGCTCGGTTCAGCCAAGACCACCAGCTGGGGAAAAGCCCACTGAGCCCATACTTCTCCTTTGCAGGAATGCCACGCTAGTAGTAACAGGTGCCACGCTAGTAGTAACAGGTGCCTTACTAGTAGTAACAAGAAGCACGAATGGAGACGATGATTTGATGCAACACGCTGTGAAACACGTGAAACACAATGTGTATGAGGATGTAATGGAGACTTCTCTTCTGAGGATGTGATGCTATTCTTAGAGATGAGTATGTAACACGCTGTGTACTTGAATACTAGGAAGACCCCCCAGTTCGACCTGCTGGAAGGAGGACAATAGACCAAAAAAACAGTGGTTGAGGTCCCCCTATGTCAACACACACCCAAATTGTTGATGCATTGGAAAAGCTGACCTTTGGCGGGATTCAGTGTGCAGGACCTCTTCACAAGAATGACCAGGCCAGCATAATTAGAACCCCCCTTTATGATCCTCCAAGTTGAATCTGATCCTCATCCTCCAAGTTGCATTTAAGGCCTGAAGCTGTCAGTATGAGATGAGGTGAGCATCAGCTACTGGTGTAAGAACTGGTACAACAAAGGAACATTCCACAAAAAGGATATGTCCTTGTGTTTGAGGACCATTCATTGATATATTGGCAATATCTTGGTACTACTCAAGGTATGAACTTGACATGCTATACTTTCTGCTTCACAAGGATAGGATTCCCACGACCAGTGAAACATCTGCTGGGCCACAGCAGGCGGCACAGCCCCACGTGCCCCCGTCCCTGACAAAGACACACACACACACTTGACTTTGCACCACAAAGTCTGGACTGCTGTCGCCTCTGAGCCCTAGAGGAATCGAACGATAAATCAGAAACAAGGTCTCCTGACCTGCTCGCTTTGCCTCGAGGTAAAGCACTGTCCCCGGGACCGACGACCGAGTGCATTCTCGCTCAGGCGCATAGAGCTCAGGGCTCAGGCCTTCCTTCACAGGGTCGTGCAAGCGTTCCCGCAAGACCTCAGCGAGGAAAGGCCAACAAGCGGGCGAATCCCTCGACCTGTTGAAATGGAAGTCATCCCCTCAAACACATGGCTCTCGCACTTCGATCCAAATTCCTCACAGGCTCACTTTGACCGAAGAAACGGGGTCACTGGTGCCTACGTGCTGTGCCTACGTGCTCCAAATGATCATACAGTCCTGCCAGCATAGAAAGCACCAGAATGTCAAATACAGTGTCAGCCTCTGTTGTTCTTTTGCTTCCGGTCCTTTGATTTTAAACATCATTGAACCACACCTTGAAGACAATATGCCATATGCCTGGTCTTGTGAACACTCACCAATCAGAACAAATTGGAACTCGATTTGATCTGGCTTGGTTTGATATGGGTTACGGGGATGGATCGTCACCTGCGTTTGATTGTTTTCTCGTCTCTCACGCGGCCTGACTGTCTTGGGGATCTCGTTGGAGGGGTGCGACCATGGTTCCCCATCTGTGCTCCATGCGACCCTCGTCTTCACCTGAAACGGAATCGTTCTCGAAATACAGCAACGAGAGAAGATGGCGAGACCCGCTGGGAGTTGACATATCACGGATTTTTGACACACTTCTTAGGCTCTATCTTTGTTTACCATCCCTCCCAATCAAAGGATTGGTTTAAGGGAAAATCTACAGGAATCCAGGAATTCATGGCTTCCACCCCCGAAAACGATGGGTTTCCTGTAGATGGTTCCTTAATTAGTTCTATTCTGTGTCACCGACCAGGTACATTCTCGCTGATGTCTGAGAAGAACTCTTGCTGGGCGACAAGGACTTCCACTCTGAAGACAGTATTGCCATTGGCCTCAAAAGCCAGCGGATCTGTCCTCGTTTCCTGACGGAAGTTGTTGGAGGATTCATCCAACTTATGGAACAAACAATGGTTTTTTGTTTCCTCCTTTGCAAAGAAAGAAACTAAGGGCAACAGGGCAGTACACCACTACCAGTCACGTTTTTTCCTCCATTCTACCTTTCAATCACAATCACACCCAGTGCCACCATCACAGAAATCACAGCAAAAACAACTACAGCCTTCTCTGGCAAACGTCGCACAGACAGAACTTCGAAAGCAGGATCGACAAGGAGATCTGGTCTCACCACTGCCTGCCGAAGCGAAGTGCTGGGATGGATCACCAATATTCTCTCACCATGTATGTTTGTTTCTTTTCTTTAATTTAAGTATAGACATATTACAGTATTACCTTTGGCATGGGTCTGCAATTATCCAAAGTTGTCCCAAAAAAGCCATGACAAGGGCCTATGGATCATCCATGTATTCGGTAATGCTGCTGTTTTTGCACCAACATTGTGTGGAATCGTCACGGGAAACTGCTTCCTGCACTTGAGATCATTGATGCTGACTAACCATCTTGCCGCGAAGAACAAACCCTTGAAACAAACATCTCCCTGGTTTATAAGTGCGCCGTGCACCACAAAGTTCTGTCCCTCAGCGAAGTGCCTGGCCACGAGCCACATGGGTGGCAACGCCTGTCCGCTGCAGATCGTACACGCGGAAGCCGCAGTTCGGAGGGTGCGGCTGGTAGTCGAAGGCCGCCTGCATGATGCCTCAAAGGGTGTGGTTTCGCGTTCTTGTCCACGGACTGAAGGAAACCATGGCAGGCTCTAGACTCTATGACTCGATCTTCAAGTTCCAAGATTCCTTCAGCCCATTCTCTACACAAAGGGTAGAAGTCACTATAGTATACTATAGTGACTGTGGATCTAAGCAGCATGATATCTCAAACCCAAGTTCACAAATTAACCAAAAACATAACCAAAACTCTGCCAAAACCGAAGCAGCTCCCAACTGCCACTCCCGGCTCAGTCTAGCAGCCGCCGTGACAAACCAGCAACACATTCAGTGGCACAGCCCAGTGATCTTGGAGGCTCCCGAGCCTCGGAATCGCGCGGACATCGAACGCTGTGGTGGGTCTCTTCTGGGCAGGTCGGGGTGTTCGCTGCATTGTTCGGGGTGTTCGTGCCAATTCCCGGCCACAGAAGACTGCATTGGATGACTGCATTGGAAGACACCACTGGATGACTAAGTCATCTCATGTCATGTCATCTGATGTCACATTGTTCCAAACTTGCAGGACACCCGTGACGCGGTAGTGATGATGTCACACTCCCAAGCTGCCACTTCTTGAGCCGCACTGCTCGACGTTGAAAGGAGCTTTCAGTCTCCTGCACTGGTGTGCGACACACACCTTGCAGGGTTGGAAGAACAGTAAGAGCAGTAAATAACAGAACAATCTCAACAAGAACAATCTTACACAGACTGATCCTATTTCCTGCATACCTCGCAGTGTTTGGCACGGCCGCCCATCCGTTGGGGTTCAAAGAGAGGTTCTCCCAGGAACAGCTGAGCATAAGTTAGGTTCATCGATCACTTGATGTGGCACCAAGCACCAAACCCATTCCAACGCAATGAGGAAGCCCTTCCCCCCCCTCCTGAACACTAACATGAAACTGAACAGATTCAGCCAGAAGACAAGGTTGCTCTACAATCCAACAGTTAAGTGCGCCTTTTCATTCAAGTGCCTCTTAGGCTACATCGCCACCCCAGGCAGCGCCGGCCGCCGGCGCGGCTCGCTCCGCGGAGCGATGCTCCTCGCTGTGAGGTCCATGATGCCACCATTTCCCAGCGTTCACACGGCGCTTCTGGCAGTAGGCCTCCTCAGTGTACGGCGGTGGATGGTCTGATCTCGAAGACTGGGTTCTGTTCACCCAAGTGTAGGTGACTGGCACAAGTGACTGATACAGATCGGGCTCCTTCCTGCGCAGTATTATATGGCATGAGCGATCGAATCCGGCGTCCCGTGGACTAGGGGGAGTATCCCACACGATCGAATGTTGATCTAAAATGATCTAAAAGGAAAGGAAAGGGAGATGTATGTTGCTTCGCAAGGAGTTTGTCTCTGTGGTTTTTCAATGTGCTGATCAGGGACCTAGAGAAGGCAAAGTATTTCACATCAAGGAAACCCAGGTTCTATTCTTGACATGGTTGCATGGTTGCTTCCTGCATGATCCTTATGGCATCCCTTCAAGGTCTGCTTCATGAAACGCAGGGGTTGCTGGATGGCATCGTTTCACCAGTCAGTTGGCTCAGTTGGTCTCCCAGGATTCCCAGGATATCAAGCATCCGCATTTGACCTATCTACCTCAAGAACAGCTCCTTTCTACGTTGCTTTCCTCCTGGACCAATCACCAAACCTCACTTGGAGCCGAGCCCCCCAAACCACCAGACTTAATGTTGCATCCATGCAGCAACTTCTTTCCAGTCAAAGACACCTTGAAACCAAGGAAGTGAGTGAGGCAGGTGCGAGGTGTGTTCTTGCAAAGGTTTCTAAAGTAGTATATCCCAAGGCAAAAAAAAAACACCAAACATCAATGCTGGATACCATGATGGTCTTCCGATTCCTTGTCTCCCGCATGGCAACGAAAGTGTGAATTTGTTTATGTGTATGTTTTTTACAATATAAATTTCATATATACAGTATATGCACGCAACAACAAGTACCCACACCAAACCATGTCTTTTCCCCTTGTGGTAGTCACACCAGACCATCCAAGTCCCTAAGAATTCCACAAATCCCGGACCACTAGCGGTGAAACACCCGATTTGGTGATCGCCCAGTCGCTGAAATCTGAACTTCTGGAGAGCTCCTGAGGTGATTCGAAGCTGAGAGCACAGGACACGCTCGTCTGGAAGCTGTGGAATCAGATTCGAAGCGACGAGGTTGAGTTCATGAAAAAAGGGTTGAGAACTAGGCAAAGAAGAACTGCTCATGATCGGTTGAAGTCCGCAATTGCTGGGTGGAAGGTCAAACTAAAACTGCCTGCTCTACATCAACAAAGCAATGACCTGAAAAATGGAAATCCTGTTGTACAATATTCCGATTTAACCCTGAGTGCCTCTGCTTGATGTGCAAGTCAGGTGCGCGGCGAAGCAACCCCCCGTCCTCCACAGTGGAGCCGCGGTTGCCGCGCCCCACATGGGAGTGCATAAAAGTCTGCTCCGCACACAGCGGGTGCACCTGTGTGCAGTCATGACCAGAAACTCTCTTAATATGTCTCAACTATTCTTAACTACCTCAGTTTTCCCAAGTGGTGAGACTTGGCCAAGCAATGGTCTGATGAAAGATGTCTCGATTTGGAACCCAAACGATCTGCCGAGCTCTGCTTCGGGACTGACCAGCTCTAGTAACGGCCCGTTGGTTGGGATGAATCCAGCGAAACACGCTCCGAAGAACATGTCAAACCCCCATCCAAACCCTCATTGAGTCGATTGACTAGTGTTCTAGTGTAGTGTGTTGTTTGTTTTTTTTTTTTGTATGACCAGCTCTAGTATGTCATGAGGTCAAACATGTCAATCTGAGAGGAATTGACCAGTTACCTCTCCTGTCCAACATTTCTGGTCCCATGGTCCCAACGACACCAAGCCAGGCACAATGGCTGGAAGCTTAGCCGTTTCGGCGCTTCCTCAGCGAGCGAACGACCCTCTTAGGCTAAGCAAAACGAGGGCAAACGATCAGGAACCCCATGAGGGATAGAACTGCATAGTCTGCATATAGTTCATAGTAACAGAACAAAACTTCTGGGATCCCAGGAACAACTAAACGTTTTGGTGGGCCGACTACAACTCTTTCTCCATGAAGAACTCGTCGCCATGAACCACCGAGGCGACGGGAGTCAGGACGACCGAATTGAGAGTCGTCGGTGAAGGAGGTGGGTATATGACCCAAGCACTCCATGGGACTCCCATGTAAATATGCCAGTCCCATGGAGTGTCTGGGTTATACTTATATTAATAAATGTTATTAATCTATTTAGGCTCTTCAAGAGTTTAGTCGGTTTAGTACCATCGGATTAATATATCAATATCTGTACTTTACCGAGGTGACCAGCGGACCAGCACGACCAGGTCAGAGACCGCTTTGTCTCCGTTTGGACAGACCGTCCTTGAGCTTCGGGGATTCGGCACGACCGGTGCATCAATCGTTTCAGCTTTCGCTTTCCTTCACGTGGTCGGCGGTCGGCGAACGAGTGGTCAAGGAAGTGTGATGTGCTCATCCGCAGCAAAGGAGCCCTCCAAATTCTCCTCAGGAAACGGGTGAGCTTGGCTGGAGAAGCAGAAACTCGGTCATTCACGCCAAGTGCAACAAGCAAAAACGTAGCAGAAAAAATAATCATAGAATATCATAGATCATCAGTCCTAATGTATTTAAAACTCGTCCCAACAAGGCCGCTTCCAACGCAGGACAGACTTGGGAAGAAAAAACTGTCGACAAACAAGCCTCCGGCAATCTCCGGCATATTGAGAAATTTGATGTGTCCCGTCTCATTGCATGTCAAAAAGTACGTACAACAATCTACAACATTTAGGAAGAACCCCAAAGCCTTGACGAACACCTCCTACAGTAAGGCCTCAAAGGCCTGCTTGGCACCTTCAGTTAGGCGCACGCGCGCGAACGTTCCCGCGCGCGTTCCCGCACAAACGCGCGGCTTTGCGCGGGAATGGTGCCTGCGGAATCACACGGAGGGCCGTCTGCAGGGCGCGGGTGAAGGGTGAGATGATCGCCAAATGCAGAGCGTGGAAGACCCCCGCCTCCAGGTGACAAGCGCTTCTTGCGCGCCCAAAGGGGTCAACGTGTCGCAAGCAACACAAATTTGTTGCTTGCGCCCACCACCCACTGAATTGTGGTGGTTGTGGGAGTGGGGAGGGCACTTGAGCCTATATGTGGAACCTAAGGGGGAGTATCCATGCAGGTTGAACCTTGCCTTCTGCTCCCAAGCACCTTTGGTAGTCAAGGCGACCCTGCCTCTTTGAGCTTTTCCGCCACTGCATCAGCCTGCGCCTGATTAGGCATGACGAGCTAGGAACCAGTGGTGAAATGCTAAAACAGGATTCGTTGCATTGACAAGTAACCAAACCAAAGTCATGTTCACCTTCAGGGAATCTCTTTGGATGAATCTCCCCCGCAACAGAATCCGCTATTTGCTTATGAGGTTTGCATTCGCTCACTCCACGTTTGATTCGATAAGCCATGTCAGTAGGAAGAAAGGACTTAGAGAATGGTGGTCTGTGACTGAATGGTCTTTTAGAAAGGGACTTGTAGGAAGAAGGTCAAAGGACTATGCTGTCAAGGACCAACAAGCTCTGGGAGGTCCGGTCGGTCACTGCCAGAAGTCTCTGCACTGCTTCGGGTCCATCCACCCTTTCGAACCAAAAAGAAGATGTGTAATCTTCCACCTTGGTGTGACATTTCAACCATCCAATGTTTAACTCATTGATTCTCCCACAGTACCATCATGTCTCTAGAGGTTTTGGAGGATCGCGTTTACCAACCGAGTGCTCCTCTATTGAATAACTTCAGCACGAAGGTTTGTTGAACTTAAGGATTTCACAAAGGATTGTGATCAGAATGGACCCTCGCTTCTTATGTTATGGACCCAAACCCCAATGAGAAGACGTAAGATTGTTGTCCGGTTCATCCAGCCAAGTCAACGACGAAACGTCGGTATACCCAGTATACTTCAACCTCCCCACGGCGAACACTAGTCACTAGTAACTAGTATGCGGGTACAATCATGAGATAAAAATCTATAAAACATGGTGGACCTTGAAATGGTACCATTTCCCAAGCAAATCACGGGGACACTGCAAGTAACGATTGAATCCTCAAGAAAAACATGTTTCCTTTATGGCCATGGGAGATCATGTGAAGGTATGCAACATGTCGTCAAATCGAAGATAAGTAACATATGTTGTAATCTGTCTGCACAAATGATCATCTATGATATACATACTCTAAGTTATTGTTTTTGTTGATTTTTTTAAAGTATATATTAACTATATAAATACGGTATTCGGTTGGTGGCCTTTCTCTCCCAATTCGACCGTCCACCACTCACCAACCACCATCACCTGGCCACACTCGTTGATCTCCGCATCCTCGCTCACGATGCTTCCGATGCCTCGAGCGATTCCGCTGGGGCGAGAGAAGAGACGAACACCGGACTGTATACGAACAAAAAAAGGAGGAATTGAGAGAAAGTCTAGCTCTCAACAAAACGTCTCAAACACTTTCTTTTGAGGAATTCCTTCTTAAGGTCAAGCTCTCAAAAAGGTGACAACATGTCTTTTGAGGGGCCATCCCTCCATCCAACCTCACCAGAGGCATCGGTTCCTCCTCCAACCGCATGACGTCGGTTCCTCCGGCGCCCGTCCCGATCCCCGCTCTCCTGCGTAGGTGTTGTGCACGCCCATGGCGTGGCGCATCACCAGGACACGCACGGCGCCGGGAGGCCGTTGGGCGCTGAAGAAGGCCTCGATCTCCTCGGGCGCCTTGGATCGGCTCGGACGGTGAGTGTGGTCGGGTCGGTCTTGGCTTCGGAGTTAAAGTAGAAACCATAGGTCTGGTGAGTGTGGTTAGTGGTTCGGTTCTCTTTTGTTGGATTGTTTCCCTTTGGTTTCCCCCATGCTTGTCCTTTTTGGAAAGGTGAATGAGAGTTTCATGGTCTGTTGAAGTCACAGTCTTTGGTATACGTTTGCAGTGGACAGTCTCCACCAAAGCCGAAGCAACTAACTATCTGCGTTCGTCTGCTGGTGTGCACACATCTCCTGCTCTTCAATTCTTAGAGGTTCGCACAGAATAAAATGCAATGGATCCAATAATTCAATAGATGCCTGGCATTAGTTTCTGGCATCTTGGCTTCAATTTGTTAGAGGATAAATTATGCGTCTTGGTCGGCATTTCACACATTTCAAACCTTTTAGATGTGGGCCTGGGCAAGTGACGTATTGCAGCAAGTTGCAGCTGCAGCAACCCTGATCAGGAGAGTGCATTAATTATTCCCGTTGATGACTTCTACAGGTCCTCATCTGTGTCGACCTCTCTGTCTGTGAGTGTGTCAAAACGTGCAACTCCCTTTTGTTGGCTGTCCTGGTTGTGTGTGTTGTCGTTGTGACATATGCCAAGAAGTATCAACATGTGTAAACCAGGATACACCAGTTCCATGACAACAATGACTCGTCCTCGAAATGAAATGAACACACAACTGATGGAATTACCTCCAATGGTTCACGCCCAAGTCTGAATCCACACGCATCGAGTTGCATCCAACTGCGCCTCATGTCCAACAAATGTCAACGGTTCCACAATCCAAGCTCTGCCACCACCGGACGAGGGAAGAATAGCAAACAAAGAAAACAACACAACACAGTATGACTATAGACTAGACTGCAACTGCAGCACTCTACCCTCTTGGAGCCGCGCCAAACAGTCCACCACCACGTCCCGCCTTCTCCAGGCGGCGTCCCGCCGTCCCCCGTGGCGCCTCGTGGCGTCGCCGTCTCCACGCGACGCCGCGTGCCGCGCCTCGTGGCCCAGGAAGTCGCTGAAGAGTGCCCAACTCTTGTTGCAGCCACTCAATGCCATCCGCGCCTGGAGAGGACCGAGCTCTTTGTTCTAGTGGGCTAGAAGCTCGCGGAGGTTCTGGCAGGAGCCAGCGGGTGACGCTTGATATAGATCTCTTTCGTGAAGGAGGTACGACTCCACACACTCCGCTGGCCAACCATGCTGCTATTCTCCCAAATCCATGGAACATACTGGTGCTCCTTGTTCCAAAGCCCAGCATGCATGTTGCTGATTGACAGCGGGTTTTGACAGGGTATCCACTGGTATCCACTAGTAAACCCGACGACCTGGACGGTACAAGATCCAACTCCTGCAAGCATGCCTCCAGGCCATGCCAGCATGCCAGATATCTAAGCAATTGTGGGGTGCTGAGGGTCTTCTTCAGACCCCTTACATGCAAGTAGTGCATCTGAAGCTTGGAAAGAACTAGGTCAAAACGGTCCTTGGCCTTATCTTTTAGGTGGAAACTTTGGGTTGATTTCTGGGGTTGCTTTGTGTCCTTTTTACTTGGTCATCTGTTCCCAAATGGGCCTAGCATGGCACCTCCTTGCTTTGTCTGTCTCTAAAGAAAACAAAGAACTGCGCTAAGACAGCTCAGCATCCAGCCAAAGAAGAAGCCGGACGTATGCGGTAGAACAATACGTTTTGAGTAAATTTCTACCTGCGCCATAAAACAGCCTAAAACATGGGTGCAACTCTCCATTAGATTCAATTCAAGCACAAGAAATTGGATTTGCTTTAAGGTGGATTTACCCACAAGGAAAGTACACAAATCCACAAGCAAAAGCTGCTGAAGATAATGACCGTTATCCTTCATCTGCCCATCTGCCAAGGTCTTAGTCTGGCTGAAAAATCGTGAAACGACGGCTTGATCCAGGCAGCGTTATTGTTAACAAACAGTAGCGACAAGGAGCCCTGAACCTTTCCATGTCACTTGAAGGGCGTTCTCAATCCAGAATAGCACTCGCATGACGCCCCGCACAACTGCTGCCTGGATGACCTCTGCAGCCAATCCAGTATGTGTTCAGCTCTTCTTGGATGCATGAATCTTCAGCACACTCCAATAAAGGAACACATGAACATTCCAATATTAATAAGATGACAAGCTTAAATGGTCTTCTTGTTTGTCATCGGTTCAAGCGTCATCGACAACACCCTGGCACACGAATAGAGTGCCATGGCGGATGTGTCATCGCAACACCCTTTCTTCGCACCGAAGCTGGGTCTAGGTCGGTTTGGTAGGTCTAGGTCGAAACAACAAGGATCCATGGATCACAGGTGCAGCGTGGTGCGAGCTAGCATTGAGGGACAACATCCAAAGAACAACCTAAAGCAAAGGGAGAATATCACTGGGAGATATTGGATGCCCCAAACGCATCAAATAAGTACCCAGAACTTTACCTGATGGGTCGAACAAGAACATCACCCCTAGGAAAGGTGTGTTGCAAGGTCCTGGCCAATCTACCTAAGGTTGGGAAATGCACTATTACGTTACAAGATTGTTCAGGTCATGTATGCCAAAACTTCGGCCCAAAACAACTTCCACAGGTATGATTCACCAATATTCTCTGTAATTCCGAGATCGAGGAGACTGTAAATGTTGCACCAGCCGCATCATCAGCCCCCTTGATGACATTGTGACCTTCCCTCATTGAATGGCAGGAGTCGCATATTTCAGAAGTCCAACCACCGAGTGGGTCCGGTGCTTTCCTCTTTACTGCGATTTTTCGGGCCCTCAAACGAAGATGGATAGCCAAATAGGAGGAATACTAGGCGCGCCGTGATCTCCCACCCCTTCACTCTCTTTCCATTTTTTTGCACTCGCCGTGACCAATTCATTCCAAAAAACCGGGGGCAGAGCTATCATTGTCGTTCCAAAGCGCACGCTGAAACGGTTCTTCAGCTCTGCAAAGGCTAGACCGAACAGGGTCCAAATGGATGCTGAATAAGAACCGCACACTTTGCAAATGCAGGGTCCTCTAGAAAAGCACTGGAGGTAACTTGATGAAACAGGATTGAAACTTTGGATGCAATACACCGCTTCTACCAGGTAACAGCTGTAACTGTGAGACCTCAACAGGAGGAAAAAAACGATGTCGGAAGTCACGACTTCCAAAGGACAGTTGCTTCTGGTTCTTCTGTCTGTATTGTCTTCCCTGGTCAAATGCCCTGGTAGGGTGCAACTTCTTGGTGCAACTTCTCTATGATGATCGCACCTCAACTTCTTGATCCGCTGAACTTCCTAATCGGAAGTACCCGAGCGGAGTTGGCAAAGTGGTGCAAACCTGAACTCATCAGGGAAACCAGTCAAGTGGAGGGAAACCCATCAGGACAGTGGTGGCTGCTATCCAAGAATGATATTATATACATTAAAACATACGTATATAATAGTATATGTATCCCTATATAGGGTATGTATGTACCTTTGTGTATGTTCAGAGTTCAGAAAGCCTATAGCGACCCAACCCAAGTTGGTGCATGGATCGCAGCCCGTTCAGCGCGCGCGTTGGACGCGGGCCACAAAGGGCCCACACTGGGGAACAAGAAGCAAAGCAAGTCCTTTTGGGTACACTGTGAATCTCAGATGAGAACAAAAGCCAACAGATGCCAAAAGTGATGTTCAAAGTTCGGACTCACCGCAAGTATGTAGGATCGACAATAATTCAGAATATTCAGCACATGTGTCCACTTGCGTGTGGCCAACGTGTCCTGTTGTGTCACATGTGTCATACGAAGAAACTCATCAAGGAAAATCTGGGTCGATCAGCAGGTTGTTTGGTAATTCGTTGTTTGAAAGATGCACAAGTGTGCGAGAACACAATTTAATTTTTATACTACATACAGTTGTATCATCCCAAAACCTCCGTCCCCCATCCGAATTCACTTTTGAGGGCGGGGTGGGAGTACTCCCATCCGCTCTCCCACATGCCAAGCAATTAGCTTGAGACACGGGCTCCCCATGACAACGGGGCCTAAAGATCCTTTCAAATGTCATCTAGGATGCCGGCAGGGTTGCCGCAAGCTTCGCAATTCTGCCCATCTTTGGTATGTCTATGTCTTCTCACAGGCATGTTTCCAAACAAACAAATGGAAACACCTCGCACAGAAGCAAACAAACTAACATGATGTTTCTGCATTTCGTACCAGGCATATTGCAGCTTTTGTGGATCTATCTCGCATTTCTTGCATTGACGAAAACGCGGAAGGCATTGTCCGATGCTACCAGCTTCAGGCTTTTTAGTGCGTTGGCATAGAGTCATGGGCGATGGAATGTGGCCATAACTTTTGAGAGATCCAAGTAAAAGCACCATAAATTTTGAAATAGTGCCATGTGGCACCATCGCGAAAGACGAAAGAACAACTGATCTCGGTTGACACCATATACTGTCCAAAGATTGGCTTCTCACGACCAAATGCCTGGAAGCATCTGATCAAGTCTGATCACAACCATTGAACACATCGTCAAACTTATATGTTTTGAACATGTATGTATGTATATACATGTATATGTTATATAACTAGGTTGTCAACGCCGTTGATGTCGTGATCCGAAGTTTGGGCAGGAAAGGACATGACCTGGCCCGAACCACTGGTCCATCGAGCTCGCTGCGGAATCCACGACTTGGTTGCAGACCGCGAGGGGCATGACTCGGGGTCGGAGCAGTGAAGCCTGTTGTCCATGCAGTTCTGGGATGTCATAGGATGATTGCACAACGGGCACCAAACGGACTGGAGAACGGGCACCCTCCATACATCAATCATCCCTTTGAACCCCGTATATAATATAAGTTATAAGCAGGTAGAAATTAAAATATCTCTTGAATGGATGATGGCCCGAGACCCGGCGTTTGAGCCTATAACA